ATTTTACTTAATAATAGTAATAATAAATGATTCATCTTTAAATTTTTGACAAAAAATGAAAAGCACTAAATAATATTTCTGAAAATTTGAGTTTAAAAACTTCTTTTTGAATAATTTGAAACGAAAGTAGTTAATGCTTTCAAATCCGTATAATTTTTTTGTTTTTTTAAACTAAGTTTTACTAAAAACGAAAAAAACAGTTATTTTCGTTTTGAAATTGAATTCTTTGGATGAAATGAATAATCAAATTTATGCAAAATGTAACACAAGATCCTTTTTTCTCCTGAAAATTAAATGCTACAAGAAATATGTATGTATATAAAACAACTATTTTTTTTTCTTTGTTGATTTTTTTACTCAAATTTTACTCAAATTCTCAGATGGCTTAATCACACTGTGTAATTAATTCTCGAACAAACAATTTGTTTACAAAACTATTAATGCATCCGTTATTTTTTAATATTGATAATTGATGATGATAAAAAGATTAAAAAAAAGAAAGAAAAATCAATGATAAAAAGAAAGAAAAAAGTTATTCCATTTTATAAATGATTGGAAATGGAAACATTTTGAGAGTAGATGAAGTGAATAACATTCAGATAATAAAATGAATGAAAATTTCAAACAAGATTTGAAAGTTCAATACATTGCTGACAATTTGTTCGATTCGATGATTTTACAATCAATTCAGCTAATTACAATCAATTATATGTGAAATTGAGTCGCTTCCTTATAATAAATGAATTCCATCATTTCATCGTCATTGTTAGATGACATTACTGACTAAGAATGACGTTTAAACGCCATCCAATAATGACGTTTAAATGAAATGTCTGAGTGCAATTAAATAAAACCACTTTGCCATCACATACAGCAATATTTCACTCATGATAATTTATCACTTCTATTATGACAACTTCCGAAAGTAATAATTTTAAAAAAATAAAAAATAATTGAAGGTTGTGCTTAAAAAAGATATACATAAAACTTTAAAAAAATGAAAATAGAAAATTCATGAAATTTTATGACGATAGTTTTGGTGCGGGAGTAATATTTACGCAGAAATAGCTAATCTTCTGCTTCTTGAAATCAATTAAATAATAAGCTTTCATTTACAAGATTTGTTATTTTACTACTTTGTTTAAGTAAAAATTTTATTCATTTTGCTAATATTTTCAAATTAGCTTGATAATTTCAATTGGAGTTTGAAAAGTGATGAATTGATAATAATTTGATTAATTTTGCTAATA